CAATGCCTATAGCGCAACCGAGAATACGCACGACATATCCGCCGACGAAATTGCCTGAAGTCGGGTCGATACCTTGCGCAGCGAGACCTAAACGTATTGATTTCAGTGATCTGGACGTTGATTCGTTCCTATTGAAACGGACCTGGCAGGGGAGACGCCTTGCGTCGGAAGAAAATGGTAAATATCCAGGCCGTGGATCGGTAGGCGATGACCTACAAGGGTAGCGATGTGCTTTGCGGATTTGGCAGCCAAATCTCCGTACGTGTCGTTTTGAGTGTATTTGCTCAAAGTGAGCCATTCCAAGCTGAGCGTGCCCGCTTCAGCGATGTTGGACTACAGAACTTGGTTAAATCATTGCGCAAGTAAGGAAACAGTGAAACGTACAGTGGAGACTTGAGGGGTATTGGTGCTGAAATCCATGAAGCCGTAGGGCATGGCATTGTCCTAGGTTCAAAATCAGTATTCCGGGGCACACAGGTGAACGGAACACGCACTCCAACCCATGCGAAAGCCATCTTATCCGCGACTTCCTTGGCCTTTTGGACGAGGATAGGAAATTTCTGGCCACTGAGTTCGTACGATGACAAAAGGCCGCCGACGTAACGAATGGTAGTTTCGAAAAGGGACACAGTATCTCCCGTTTGAGATTTGCTGAAGTCGATTTGGCTCGAAAAATTGACAGCCTCTTCGAAGATATCCTAGAAAAGACGTTGATGATAGTGGTAAACAATCGCGCACTTCGGAAAGTACCTCTAGACCCATAACAACCTGCGTCTTGCGGTGAGCGAAAAAGACGTATAAATGCTTGAGGTGCGCACCATGGTAGGCTAATAGAAACTTTTCGATAAGTAGGCCAATGAACAACCACCAAGACGTACCATCGCGTCCACAATCGACGCTCCCCAACCATCTATGAGCGGAATCAACGGGTTGAAAGTAACTCCCGTGCTTGGGACCTACTGCGGCCATCCGAGAAGCCTTGGCTTACGGGCGATAAGTCGTCATGACCAAAAGCAAACTGCCTGTCGCAACATTAAACTTCAATTTCATCGCGTCCGATTCAAACCTCACTTGTAGGCATTGTAACTTGTGGTGAACAGTTTTTGCGCATCGTCGCGACGCGAAGTATATTCGGCAGGGACGACCAGTCCAGGCAACTGAACCGTGACCCCGGCCAATGAGGACGAGGAAAGGCTTAGAAGGAGAACGACGCAAGAGAGCATTGCTTGCGCGAAAGGACCGGAAGCTAGAACCACGGTCGTTCGCCAGTCCTTTTATATGCGGGACGGATGCTTCCTGCCCATGCGCGGAACTTGATCTCGCTGTGTGGCAACCGCATACCACGCGAGATTGTCGCCAACCAAGTCGGATGGATCAACAAAAAAAGATCACGTTGAGGCGCCGCACATGCGCGCCGCCAAGAGTTTGTCGCTTGAATGCGGAGATTGCGGGGTAGGACGATCTCGGCGAAGACTAGCCAAGAGCAAGCCAAGAGCCTCGTACATAGCGTCTTGAACCAGCCTGAACCTCTCAGTCATAGAGGCGTTTGAACACGTCGAAAAAAGTCCGGCGATGATCACTTGCCACTGGCAGCAGAGCGCAGTGCGCACAGACCATTTTTCCGACCGATAGCGTGTGGCTAACCATTCCTAGGGCCGAGGGTGCAACACTTTTGTCGGTGTATCCAAATCACGTCCGAGTACGGGATAAGGTAGGGGAGGAAGAGTGGGGGAAACCAAGGGGAAACTGTCTGCGGAGGCCTGCGGGCCGATTCCCGATTCCCGAATTTGGCAGTGTGATTTGATTCGGCATCTTCCGAACGGCCTTTTCCTCCAAACGGACCAGGACCAAACCACACAGATGAAGACAATGGTCAGCGAGAGCGCGTACCTTGCTTCCGCTCGTGCGCGCATCGCAGACATCCGGACCCAACTCCTACAGCTACAGGAGACCTTTGACATTCTTCAAGAGGAACAGGCTTCATTACAGGACGAACTCGACGACTACGTCTATCCAGTCCTGACTTTACCCAACGAAATCGTTTCGGAAATTTTCGTCCACTTCCTTCCGGTCTACCCCGCACGCCCGCGCAAAACTGGTCAGCTGTGTCCTATCCTCCTGTGCAAGATTTGCCGGGCTTGGAGGGAAATAGCGCTATCGACCCCAGCGCTCTGGCGCGCAGTTGGCGTGACCATCTTGAATTTTGTCGCACCAGAGAAGGTCGAAAGTGAATTGGGATGGCTAGAGACCTCGCTTACGCGCTCGGGGTCTTGCCCGCTCTCCATCAAACTCGTACCCGGGCTCATCGACACCCAAGCTCTGGCCCCATTTATCAGGGCCATTGCACCGCACTTTGCCCGTTGGGAGCACCTAAAACTCTGGCCGGGGTCTAGCTCAGAACTCTATGCGATCAAGGGGCCATTGCCCTTGCTCCGCAGCTTGACAATCGGGGGCTTGGGCAAGTCTGATGATTTGGCTCTCCTCCATACTGCGCCTCTCCTGCGCAAGGTCGCGGTCCAATTCTATGACGATTTGTACCTTGCCATCGTACCGTGGTCACAATTGACCGTCCTTACCGTTCACGGGATCAAGGCGGCACAATGCGGACCCATTTTGCATCTCAGCCCTCGGCTCATTCATTGTAGGCTTGTACTGTCCGAAGCAGAGGAACAGCTGCCAATGAGGTGCACCCATTCACTATGTTCGATTCTTTCTTTGACCGATATCATTTCAGTGCTGCCTCGATAACGCTACGGCACCTTGAAATACTCGCTCTGGCGGTCGACCGCTGGGACGGGCATGGAGTGCCCGGAATTTTTGACTCCTTGACGCTCCCGGCGCTTCGCAAGCTGCAAATTTCAACGGGATTCCTCTCGCCAGGCCCAGTCCCTAGCCTTCGAGGTTTGATATCGCGATCAAGCTGTCGCCTGCAACGAGTGCACTTCATGGACGCCGATATACGCGAGGACGTATGTAAACCGTGTCGAAAGGAATGGCCGACAGTGCGATTTACCTGTGGTGCCCAACTGGATTCCAGGACATTTTTCTTTCGAAGGCGCGATCCTGTCACGCACGAAGAACTGAATTATGACAGCGACGACGAAGAGGCTGTCTGGAAGGAACCCAAGATCTGGGATGATCCTGATTCTGATTCTGAGCCGTAGAGTGGGAGTTGTTAAGACATTCTGAGGCGGATGATGGGCATTGCCGATGTGGTAGTACACAGATGTAGGGTACGCCGATGTAGGGTTCCGAGTGGTCAAAAATGGCCGCACAATCTTTTTCGTGTTGTACCCAAACGTATGGGCCAACGTTTGGGCTTTCCGACGTTGACTGCGTTCACGAAGTACGCGTGGTCAAAAGTCGAATGTCAAAGCCAGAAAAACAACGGAGAACCTTCTCTTCGCCCATGGCCAAGTGCCCTCGCCGTCAGAATATCCTTTACTCTTCGGAGTCTGAGTCGTCCCCGCTCGATGACTCTGAATGTCCCCAGACTGAGGGTTCTGTCCAGACGGTCTCAGCTTCTTCGTCGCTATCCATCTCCTCTAGATCAATACTGCCATAATCCCGCCTCGGGACGCCATAATTCCGAGAGAACATCGGTTTGCTCTCCAGATGGGGACCACAACTGAATTGGATTGCCGGCCATGTCTTTCGACACGGCTCGCATGCGTCGAAGGTCCCAGTTGGGCCAATGATGTGCACTCGCTGCAGGGCACAAGCTGATCGTGACACCAATGCCCGGAGGCCAGCGACGGGTCCCGGCTGAAGGAGGCTCGCCGAAACCTGTAGCCTTCGAAGTGCCGGTAGCGTTAAGGAACCGAAAAGCCCGTCCGCTTTACCATGCGCATAGCGGACCTGTAGGACGAGCATTTCTAAGTGCAGGAGAGTCATCGTCGGTTGCGGAGTACTATGACAGAGTCAGTTGCTGGCAAGATTGTGGATATGCTCGTACCGTGTCTGCTCCTTTGATTCGTTAACTATGAGCCTGCAATGAACAAGGCGGTGTGTAAGGTTCAGAATGAGCCTACACTCTTTAGGCTGAATGATATGGACGATGAGCACAGTCAATTGTGACCACGGTATCATTGAAGTGTAATGGTCCAAGTATAATGAGAGGGTAAGTCTGTGTAGGAGGGGTGCCTTGTGGAAAACGATGACCGAGGCGGGGCCCATCTGGGTCGAGAATCCAAGGGCCAAGCTACGAAGTAGAGGTAGCGGCCCCTCGATAGAGCGAAAATAGGCCAGAGGCCCGAAGAGTTTTATATGTTCCCAACGCTCACAGTGTGGCGCAATGGCCTCAATGAACGGGGGCAGTACCCGATGGCCAAATATTGCTGATTCGATTTTAATGGAGAGCGGGCAAGAGCGCGAGCGGGTTAGCCAGGTTTCCAGCGCGCGCAATTCTGCCTCGAGTCCGGTGGAAGTTATCTCCTCCGCAGGGGACACGCGGACTGCGCGCCAGAGCGTTGGCGTGGACAGCGCAATTTGCCTCCACGCTCGACAGATCTGGCACAAGAGGCCCGGAGAGAGCAGACCAGTTTTTCGGGGGCGTACTGGGTACACTGGAAGGAAGTGCACGAAGATTTCCGAAATAATTTCGTTGGGCAAAGTCAAGACTGGATAGATGTAGCCGTCCAGTTCGCCCTGTAGAGAAGCTTGCTCGTCTTGAAGACGCTCGAATGTCTCCTCCAGCTGCAGCAACTGGGCTCGGATGTCTGCGATGCGTGCACGAGCGGCAGCAAGATACGCGCGGCTGGCTGTCGGATCCATTGGTGCAACCCGTGTCGATTCTATCACAGTGTATGAGCATACGGGTCAAGAATGTTAGACTTGCGAACCTTTGCGCAATGCGGCTGTATGAGAAAAAGTGAAAGTGCACCGGAGAGGTCCGATCAAATTCAATGGGGGCGGTTTTTCACAAGCTCCGGCACAAAAACCGAAAAAGGACGGGAGGAAGAACGGGAGAGGAAGCAAAAAACTCTGCGTCACGCAGAAAATGCGTCAACCGGGAATCGAACCCGGTGCTAGGCCAAACTGTCATGCAGTGGGAAGACCCAATGTTACCAATACACCATTGACACGATGGCAGCTGTGGCCCGTCAGGTGATTGGTTGAAGTCAGGGTTGAGAACGTTGAGATGTCAAAAGACAAAAGCGTAGGACATCTACCAAACATTTACTTGCTATCATAATTTATTGTGACTATCATTGTCTGTTCCCCCCTTTGACTTCGTGCATTTCAGCCCTTCTCCCTTCCCCGTCATGAAAACGAGAATTCGAAAACACAAGTCCACTCCCCCTTCCACTTACCGCATTTTTGCCTTTCTCCCTTCTTCGAAACACGACAGAAAAATCATCCCCCCTTTCGGCTTGGTCATTTTTTTCTCTGGACGGGCCCGCCCTTGCTCCGCGAAAAACACTAGGTGTTCCATTGCCTTGGCCTCGCTGTGCTGCGCTCGAGAACACTAGGTGTTACCCTCGCTCCGCTCGAAGACACTAGGTGTCTAATTGTGCTGGCCTGAGTCGCTCTCGCGAGAAACACTAGGCATTCAATGGTACGTACTCGATTCTGTCATAGCAGCTTAGGCAATATTAGTGATGTGCTTGAACGATATCATTGTGTCCTATTGGCTTGGGATATACAGGGCAACGACGTAAAGATATGCACAGAGAGGTTAGTGGACTGTGGTGCAAGGAGATACCGGGTGTTGTTCAACTTGTTTCGAGTGTTGTTGCGAGTCTTGATGAGTCGCGTCGTGGTTGGGATCGCAGTCGGAGCGAAGATGCGCTGAATGTGAAGATGGTGATGAAGAGTGTTGCCATGAACGGACTCGCATGTTCGTCTTGACGGGACTGCGGCGCGAGAGACAACGGGGTGTTGTAAGTATAAGACGGCGTGGTTCCTGGGCGACAGCAAAGAATCCGGACCGGTTGGGTTTGCAGGTGAGATGTTCGCAACAACCATCGACAGCGACACAGTAGCGGTGGAGGGAACGGTGATTGTCGCAACGTCTTCGCAGCGTTTGAAAGGCGTTGAATCGACTGAGCAGCGAGCGATGTCGGCAATTGGAAGCGACCTCTGTGTGAATGGCATGGCTTCGAAATGGCTTTGGAATGTGCGTGCCTGTGTTGTGTGTTGCGAGTGAGAAGAGGAATTGCGACCTTCGACGCGGGCGGGACAGGGGCGACGTCGTGGTGGGCGTGTGTGGAACGAGCGGGCGCGGGTGATTTGTGCATCGGCAGGATACGACGGCGGCGACGCGAGGCGGCGTTGACGTTCACGATGAGAGCTGAGTGCCCGACGCTGAACAGAAGATGCGACGACAGAGCTTGGGCTGACTGCATGTGCAGATGTGGTTTGAGGCCCGAGGAGAATGGCGGATGCGTGAAAAGATCAATGGAGCAAGATGATGCCTGGCAGAAGACACCCGGCGTCAGATCTGTGTGCTTGCGTGTCGTTGAAGGAGGTGCGAAAGCTGCGACGAGGACTTGCGACAGAGCGGCGACGTGGTGGGCGAGGGCAGCGAGCGGGGACATGGAAGCGAGGACGACGGGACGTGCGCGAGACGTCAGGTGCCAAAACCGGAATGATCCGTAGCCCGGGCTGTGCCGAGAGGGCGGGACGGCGGGACGGTGGGCGGGAGATGATGCATGATGAGCGGGGTACGATGAGCAACATCTCGAAGCGGGCACGTACGCGCGCCTATGGCTCTGATCGCTCCCCTCGCCTAGGCCTCGGGCTTCAAAACTTTGGGGCACGCGTCAGCGTGCCCCAAGGTATGTTACCGCTACATCACTGATGCTGTTGCCACTGAGACAGATGTAGCGTAGCATTGGGTGGGGGACGACGGCGAGGATTTCCTTTTTTTTTGAACTAGCGGGAACCCGTGCTCCGCTACGGATAAAGCTTTCCGGAATGACAGTATTGACTTCAAACGCATGCCTATTTATATCCGGAGGACGATGAAGACTATGTTGAATGGCTTACTTAATTCCACATGGTCTTCAACGCTCTCTTGTAGCATGTGACTCAAGCCGCAAAAAATGCCAATTCAGCAGTACTACAATCAGGCCATACGGAGTGTAGCGGTACAGCAAGTAAGTAATTTTGGGTCTAGCGACTCGCGCCTGAAGGCCCTGGCGAGGATGAAGGTGCATCTTCCGAGTCGTCCACCTTGCGCTTTTTGGCGTCGCGGCTAAGCCAACTTGGCGTTCCTTGACTACTTGCCGGTGTCACAGGCAGCACAACGGCTAGAGATAAAGTGAGCGAGTTAAATACAATGGACAGCCGACATAGAACTTAAAGCGTACCGGGTGAAGACGGAGCGGCAGCCACTCCGGTCGTGGTACCCATGAAACGGATGTCGATGACGTCCATGGTGAACCTTGTTTTATGAGGGGAGCCCTTGACGTTGTCGAAGGTCGAGACACCCGTCAAGAAACCGGCCGCATAAATGGGCTTGTTTCCAAACGGCAAGGGTTTACTCTCGTTAGTCTTCCAACGGCCCGAGTTTGGAACACTGCACGACAGTGGAAAGCTGGCATAACCGTTGGCTGCTTGGAGATATGGCCTGATGTCCATGTCAAAGGTGGCCGTGTCCTTGTTGGGGTTGATAGCGGGGCCAGTGACGATGAGGTACGGAAGAAAGTCGATGTTGATGCTAGGGAGTCGGACTACTGTAACCTCCTTGTTGTCGGCATTCTTTTCTGTCACCATCTCGTGAAGTGGAATCAACTGCAAGATGTAAGTGACGGTGTGCTGAAAGGCGGGCAACCGCGTAGCGTACCGTTTGGACGTCTCCGATCAGGGCATATTCCTTTCTGGCACGGGCGCCATCTCCAAGCTCGAACTTGTCTTCCATCCGACCGACCTGCAGATATAATGATCAGCAAGACGAAGCAGAAACATAAAGCTGAGTGCTGACCCATGCATTTACGCTGTACAGGCCAATGTCGCCGAACACGAAGTCCCACTCATTGAACACGCGCAGCCGGGCAATGAGCTCCTTTTGTCCGACGCACATGTGCGCGTCAAACAGCCATACCTTTGATGTTCCGACTTGGCTTGGATTCTGGAAGTAGCAGACGGTATTGAGCCCAGTGCCGGACATGGTGGAAGAATGAGAACAAAACGAAGCCAGAAGCCAGGGTTTTATACACACTGCGCCACATTGCCCTCCGAGCGCACGCACAACCAGCATGTGGATTTTGTGGGAAGGGTCGGAGAGCTTTCCTTTTTTGCCTGCTAAAACTCCTTTTGGTTGCAAGTCGCGAAGGAATTTCGTATTTTGCTGCCGGGCGATCGAACACAGAGATACAACGGTCCCTGCAGAATCTGCTCAAGCAGAGATGATCTTGCGAGGTCAAGAGTGAGAGAAGGAAGCACGGATTTGTTTGCAACTATTTGATCTCGACGGAACTTGCCCGTAAGTAGTAGGTTGAAAAATATTCCGTGCGTGCTCAACTTATGCCTGCCGTTGGTAGCGACCCTTTCATTCTGATTTGATGGTTCTAACCTCCGGTTCCCGAGTGCCCTTTTCTGGGCTAAAAGTATCCCTCGATCCCAGAGGCATTAAGGGAAATAATGGCAATATACATTATCTAGTCGATTAATACTTCTGGATATACGACATTTTTGGTGGAAGAGGTAAGAACACTGTCTGCAAGAAGGATCTTGATGCGCTGCTCGGATGTGGCCCGAGAGAGCGCAACATACAGCTGTCCATGCGAGAAAACGGGTACGCGGAGGTCCAATCCGACATATCTTACAGACTGCCCTTGAGCCTTGTTGATGGTGAGGGCGAAGGCGAGGCGAACAGGATATTGACGGCGACTGAGTCTGAAGGAGAAATCGGTCGTGTTTGTGGGCGTAAGCGTGATTCTTGGGATGAAAGCTATCTCGCCATCGTGGTCGCCGCCGATCAGTCTGACTTCCAGTACACGTTCAGACATCCTCCTAAGGACCATGCGAGTGCCGTTGCAAAGACCACGGGCTGCAGCCAAGTTGCGAAGCAAGATTAATGGGCATCCCACTTTGAGGAAGAGCTCTCCGGGAGGAAGCGAGGCGCTGTTGATAGAGCGCAGGAACTCGACGGGCAGCGGAGGATCGTCGGTCTGACCATCAGCACCCGCTTCTTCGACGACCTTGTCAGCACTGTAATACACTCTTTCTTCACCTGCCATTTTGCCCAAGACCGTCTCGTTGCTCTCCGAAACATCTACGTTGCGAGGTGCCAGGATCATGCGATTGAGAAAGTATTCAGCTGGAGGTGGAGGGTCGCTGGAAATCCCGGGATAAACAAAATCCACCAACTCGGCGGGACCATCGACGCGCATGTTTGGACGGAGCTCCACATTACCCTCTTCATCACTGTTGCGTCCATGACCGACGTCGAGAAGCCAGGACGCAAAATCCCGAGCGTCTTGCCCCTCGGATTCCAATCGCATGTTTTTGCGGAGCATGAGAAGCTCGGTATTTGTCCAGAGTGGAGAGCGCTGGATAGATGCATTGACAACCTGCTCTCGAGAACCCTTCGGAACAACGGGGAGGATCTGTTGGAAGTCCCCACCGAAGACGACGGTAATACCACCGAATGGCCGTGGATCATTGAGGAGATCCCGAAGAGTACGCTCAACAGCCTCGATGGCCATGCGATCTTGCATGCCCACCTCGTCCCAGATGATGAGACGCACTTTCCGCAGCATATCGGCAAGCTGGCTGTTTTTGGGAATGCTGCAGAATGACTCCGGATGAAGACCATCGACGGGTATCTTGAAGGTGGAGTGAGAAGTGCGCCCACCGGGCAGCAAGAGGGCTGCAATCCCGGAAGATGCACTGCAGAGAACGATCGCACCATCGCTTCGTGCACGATGGCATACCGTCTGGTACACGAACGTCTTTCCCGTCCCACCGGGTCCGCTGAGAAAGAATGTCTTGCCGAGGTCGTGGTTGACGGACTCCATGATCTTGGCAAAAGCAGTGGCCTGCTCTTCGTTGAGGAGAGCCTCGTTGTGCTCTGCACGGGCTCGCTCACTGCCACGGTCGTAGTCCAGCTGCTCCGCAATCAAGGGGTTGTCGACAT